CAATAAAAATTCTTTCGTCAAGAGGTATCATTTGTATTAGTCTTCCAAGTCATTCCAGAATTTATCTTTAGACCCTATATCTAAGCCTATTTAAGGAGCATAAGCACTTATAATATTAAAAATTTAGTATCAATGATAATCTTAAGGGTTATAATTCTATCTACAACTATATTAATTTTTAGAACATTATCTTTCAAAATCTTATCTATAATTATACCAACACCATTTCTAATGCTACTCTTACCAAAATACCAAAGTTTAAAGCCTAAGTTATCAATCTCCTTAGTGTTTTCTCCAACCCATTTAGTTTCTTGAATACATATGATATTAATCTTTTTAGTAATCATAATATTAACTAGTTCCATTAATTTATCATTGAGAGTAACCATATTCCAAGATCCTATCCTAATATTAGTTTCATTAGTTTTATGAACTAACTTCTTTACCCGCATTCATCCATAATGTTGGAACCCTTGTTTATTTGACACTACACCCTGGCGCCGGTGTAGCGGCCCTTGCACACTTTTCACTGTATTCAGGCTATACAGCGCGTCGCTTCTAAGAGACGATCTCGCATTTACACAATGATTAAAAGGATTCATGTCATTATTTTGTCGATAAATTTTACGCTTGCTATCGACTACCTAACACAACGCTCAACTTTTCACATCCTGGTTTGGGACTGGCAATGACAGTGTTTATTATGTGAAAATAAAAATTTTCATAATTTTATGGGATCCCTCAGCCATTTTTGAAAGAAAAATATGGTACATAAATATTGGATCTTGATGGTCTCGTCAAATCTTCTAACTATGTGAAAATAAAATTTTTTATAATTTTATGGGATCCCTCAGCCATTTTCGAAAGAAAAATATGGTACATCAATATTGGATCTTGATGGTCTCGTCAAATCTTCTAATAATTGAACTTGGCTTTTATCATGACATGAAAAACTTAATATTACTATATCTACTATATCTTTGTTCTGAGATTTATCCATGATTCCTCAATATGTTAATGATTAAAATTGATTTGTTTTGCTACATGAATCTTCTTCATGGCCAGCTTTATGACTTTTTTTTTTTGACCTTGTGGTTAGGCTAGGCAAAAATCGTCATATTTGATTGTTGCAGAAGTTGACATCTTGGTGTCATGGTTTGAATCAATTCAATGATGACGATGCCTAATATACTGCTGGATTCAAATTGTCTGTAAATAATATTAGATTTTTATTTAGAAGATCAACAAAACATAGAGAACAAAATCAGAGAAAGAAAAGGGGAATAGAGAGAATCTAGAGTGAGAATTTCTCAGATTGTACTAAAATAACAGAAACAAGGCCTGAGTACGAAAAAAACATCCTTCTCTTAGGCTGTCCTCTTGACCTCCACTTGTAGATTTGGATCAACGTTCAACTCTATAGTAAATGTTATATTTTGAGCTATATGAATAAGAAAATTTACATTGTAAGATTTCTTAGTTACTTGCTGAAAAATACATGAGGCCTGTAGCTTTAATATTTTAAAGTGATGAGTTGCAGAAGCCTTCATTAGTTTTCACCTACTTATTATTAAGTAGACACCAATTGGTTTGTACGAATGCTGACAAGTTGCTTCTGAGATTGAGTTATTAAGCTCTGATAAGCTTTGAGCTTAATATGTTCTGGTGAGTTCATTGTAAAATTGAGATGTTCTTGATGGTCTTGGCCAGTTCATGTCAGTCTCGGTGAGTTCATCATGGTCTTGGCGAGTCCATGATGGTTTTGATGTGTTCACCAGTTCTACATTATGATTTAGCCAAGGCTTCGTGAATCGAACTTACGAAGCTTGAATTGTGTTTTTAAGTTAGTTTGATGTAGTTGTAACTCTCCAATTCTCTTTTATCTTTTGTACTTAGAAAAAAAGAAAAACAGAAAAACAGAATTAATAAAATTTTTTGTTCTATATAAAATAACAATAAATATGTGATATATTTTCATGATGATATTTTGCATTGATTGTGACTTTAATTTGTCTTTTTTGTACACGTTAGCCCTATCATATGCCTATCTCATTTGAGCGTTGCTCAAATTCTTCATCTTCTTCCTCCACTTGGGTCTACAACTTGTTTCTTTCAAAATGATTAGTATCCTAGAGATTAAGATAGATATTCCAAAAGAAGAAATGGTTCATGTCATCTTCAAGGTGGAAAGAAAAGAAAATCGGTGCAAACAATAGAAGAATAAGAAGAATTTCTTTTTGAGAAGAGACTACAGGCTAAGTAAAGTTGAGACTAGTGTGATGACCGAAGCAAAAGTTTTGTTGCTCTAGTTGGATCAGTAACTTCTTTGGGTGAATTCACAAATATCCCACATTTCCATTTTTTTACTCATCCGAATTATCTTGAATAGGGTTGACGTGGTATGAATTATCTTGAATAAGATTGACTTGGTATGAACTATTTCCATGAGATATTTGGATGTACATATCCAACAAATACTGGCACACAAATGTAGCCTAGCAAACGTATTGTAGCTTTACATACAAAACTTAACTAGGCTGACCATCTCCCCAATAGCAAATAGATGGCCAGACTATGGCTTCCTGCTATAAAAAAGTTTGCATTTCATCTTCTTCACCTTTTCATGGTAATGGGAAACAATTGGAGAGAGTGATGGCGTGTACCATCTAGCAATAGTCTATGGCGGTCAGATTCTACCTCCAATCAACAGGAAGCTCCATCCTTAAGCTAGAAAGACCATCTTTCCATCTATCATGAGAATTAGAAGATCTAGTTAAGATGAATTTCCGGTTCACGCAGAAGTTATCTAATACAGTTCGTGCATGAATGTACATGAACATCAAATGTGGATGAACTTCCACCTCTTTCTTCTAGTAAAGTTGAGAATTGGCTCATCAATGAAACTTCAGCATGGATGTGGTGACGATGGATCATAGTTAATTTTCAATGACATGGGCAAGGTGAGGACGTGTGATCATGGCATGGCTATTGAATATGAACGCATTGAGAATCCATTGTTTTGTCATTATGCCAATTGTTGGAAACTGGCTACTGAAGAAATCAAGGAGAGGTTGGGGTTTTAGAATAAGTATTGAAATTTAAAAATATGTTGTCTTTGAAGAGCAACAGTTCTTATCTAAATATGACACATAAAAAAAAACAAAACATAGTTCAAACTAACAACCACGTTCTTATCTAAATATGACACATAAAAAAAAAAAACAAAACATAGTTCAAACTAACAACCACAATAAAAAAAAAAAATTCTAGAAGTTGAAGCTTAGAAACTTGGACTACAAATGATGCGGGAGCACTCCCGCTTTGGAAGCGGGTTGCAAGCCGTGAACTGCGACTCCCCCGAGCACGTGAGATGGACCGAAATGTCATGTTTTCCCTCTTTCATGCTTTCCTCTCTATTATCCTTCATTCCTTTTTAGTCTTTTCTTATATATGTGTTGTATTAGGGTTTGAAACTCAGTTTTGTTTGGTTTTCTGACAGGACAGCCATTGACATCTCGATTTTTCCCTTCCAGGGTTGTATCCATAGGCGAGAAAGTACTCCGGCTGTAACTCGTTCTTAGGTAGTGTGTATGTTCAGTTTTCCTGCTTCCCAAAGCCGTCCCTCCGCTGCCGCCGTCGCCGTGTTTGCTTTAGCCACCCGGAAAACAGCCCCTTTTCTGTTTTCTTACAGCCGCCAACCAGCCAACCACCTCCCACCTTGCTGTCATCTCATCCAGCCACTGCCCACCTTGCTGCCAACCCTTTCCAGCCGCCTTCCCTCCCACCTTGCTGCCATCTCATCCAGCCATTGCCCACCTTGCTGCCAACCCTTTCCAGCCGCCTTCCCTCCCCGACCCTTCCAACACCCTGCCACCACCTACCATCCAAGCCTAGCTTTCCTTCCACCTTCCGGCCACCAACCGCTGCCAGGTGATCCCTTTCAGCCACCTACCTAGTCATCGCCCCTTCAGGAAACCACCGTCATTGTGTCTGTGTCGTGTTGTTGTTGTTATTTTCTATTCCATTTGGTTGTTTGTAAGTTCCTATTTGAATTTCAGCAATAATATTATTATTCCGTTGTTGTTTTGTTTAACTCCTGTATCAACAAATGATTCTGAAATGTTATAATGTTGGTGAATTTGTACTATTATAGGAACATGCTCATTTATGTAATTAATGTAAGATGCTGATAATGGTAATCTATTTGATGAAGGTACGATATTACCAAGTCTTTTTCATTCCATTGATAATGATCTGAGATTGTACCACAATTTCTTTCCATAATATGCTTAATGAGTCTTTCTAAATCGCAAATTTCGTAATTCCAAACAGTTATGGATGAAATGTTTCTAGAATCTTAAAATTTAGGTATATCCTTGAGAATCAATAAGGAAGCCAGTATTCTTCTTTAGGTAGAAAAAGATACTTACAATGTGTTAATATTTGCCACATTTTTAGATATTTAAAAATTTTCCTTTTTGTTTCGTTTGATTCATGGACAATCTTGACTCTTGTAATCCAGCTTTCCATATGAACCAAACTTTTTTGTCCTTTTAACATTTAAGTAGCTTGACAAATTATTAATTTATCTCATGTTTTTAATTACTGTATTTTTTAATTGGGAAATCTTCTGCTATGTTAAATGTTGTTTTTGTAGAAATGTAATTTAAGGTGTTTTATCAAGGTCCTTATTAGTTAATTCTATCTAGTTTTGCTGCTAAGCATTTTCCCAGCAAACAAAAAGTCCTACAAAGTGAATGCAGCTAATACAATTATATTTACTTTGCAGGTATGTTGTTAAATAAAGATTAAATTAGGTTTGATTACATGTTCATCCCATGGCAGTGCACAAAACTTGATCATAAAAAAGTTTTGCTTGCATTTTTTGCATTGCATCTTTTGTTTAGCCAATTGATCAGCCACTGCAGTCTAACCTTCAACTTTTATGGGATCCATTTGTCATATTATTTTTAATCAATTTTATGGTTGCTTTTTACTAGAGGAATTATTGGTGTGCTGGTTTCCAAAACAGTGCATTACAGTCAAAAGATGGGAAAGATATGATTCTTTTAGGAGGTACGAGTGGCTTTCTCTGTCATGTTTTCATTTTGTTTTTAATTATTTGGTAACTGCTTTGTATTCACAGCCTCATAATAATGTGGGAACGTGGAAAACTAATTGCTTAGAGGCTTAAAATTAGGGCTACAAATGAACCGAATTGAGCCGAGCTGAGCTGGTGTTTCTCCTTAAGCTCTTTTGTTCAAAACTTTTTTGAGCTCGGCTCGAGCTTTATTTGAGCCTTTATGATTGCTTTCAAGCTTGGTTTGTTTAGTATCATGGTTGTTTAAAGCTTGAGTTCAACACTTATTGGGATTATTAAGCTTATAGACAAGTAGTTCATTTTTCTTATTTTGGCGAGCTTGCTGAGATTTAAATGAACATTTTGTTTGAAATAATAAATATGCCTTATCGAGTTGAGATTACTTAGTTTAAATTATAAATGTTAGCTTAATAAATTTTTTAAACTTGAGAATTAGTTTAATCTTTTTAAAATACTATTCAAGGTTCCGCATGAGTTACAAGGTCATAAGATGATGCAGCTAGTCTTAGTGCTAAAATGTGTGCTTTAAACTATATAAATGGTGTTATTTTAAATATTTAAATAATGTCGGGCTAAAAAGTTGTTTTATTGGCCTAGTGATTTAGACAGGTGTGAGGAAAAATGGAATGAACTTCCAATTGATATGAAGGAAAAAAAATGATTTTTTTACAACCAAATCCATCTACATTACCATGGAGCTCATTTTTGCATTTGATGGTTAATATAGATTATTATATTATGCCTCACTCAAGTTTTAATCGATTTTCTTACCAGGTTTGTTTACGAGTTTTAAAGGATTCATGATTATAAATGAATGGAGCAATAAGTTTTTTAAGCTTGTACATTTATAAAAAGTTTTGCAGCCTGTTTTATTAATTAATCAAATAATCATGAGCATGCTCTAGTCAAATCGACTCATGAGTAGCTTGTAGAACGCTTGATTCATTTACATCCTTACTCAACGTGATGATGGTGAATATAGTAGAATTTAATATTGATGTTACTCTAACTACGATGTGGTAGTCAAGTTGTGTAATACACCTAATACCAAATAATTGGTAGAAAGCATGCCATGATGATGTTACGCATTAATGCATAATAATTGTTAGAGAAGACATGAGAAGGAATTCAAGGAGGGAGATAGTGGAAGACAGCAATAGAAGTAGAAGAAGAGAGGAGAGGATAGGGAATTTTAACATTTAATATTCATTCCACTCTTCAATAACTTTCATAAACCCAAAGTAACATTTATATGAACTAGAATCTTCAATATTTATTAAAGCTACCTCTAACCAATAAGGTAAGAAATAATATGTTATTACATAATTAAAAAATTATTTAAATATATGTTAAAGCTAAATGGACACGTGACTAAGATGAATTTTGAGTAGAATTTGGAAACCAAGGCTCATTAAATTTTGGTGATATTGCATTATTTTACTTGGGTTGAAAGCTATGTTGCATAGATTAGCAGACGAGGATAAATACACATAGACACGAGACACTTATATTATTGAAAATATGCAGATTAGCAGACGAGGATACATACACGACATAGACACGAGACACTTATATTATTGAAAATATGTGACATTGACATGTGTTAGACATAACATTATAATAAAAAAGATATATATATATATATATATTTGCCAAAATAAAATTTTCATTGATAGGAAGAAAATACAATGATTTTAGTGAGTGGGTGCTAAGATCCCACTCAAAAGGCATACAAGACTCAAAAAAGTAACCAAAAGTACAAATATACCCCCCCCCGGGCCCAAAAAAAAAAAAAAAAAAAAAACTAGACAAATTCTATAAAAAGATAAAAATGGTCCGCGGGCTTCTCGGGAGGAGGCTTCATGTTTGGGACAGAAATCCACCGGAGAGCTTAATCATGATGAGCGGGCTTTCCTCTCTTTGTAGTTGTAGAGAGGGAGAACACCAAACTGTGATGAGGGCTTCCACCCAAAACTAGCAAAGCATCCTCCTTTAAATTCCTGAGTTCTTTTAGTCCTTTTTCTTCTTCCTAGTTTTGTAAACTTGTCAATCATCTTCCGAGGGTTGCCCCAACTTATCACTGAGTTGTTCATCAATGGAATCAGCTTCTACCTGTTGCAAACCTTGAACTTGGCACTCTGCCAAGGTATGAGGGCCCTCAACATCAGCAATAATTGTTTCCATAGCATATGGAGCATTATTTTGCACAAAAATGAGAGTATCCTCGTTTTCAGCAACTTGAGGGGGCTGAGGTAGTGAGGGGTGCTCCTCTGGGGCAAAATCAGTGACAATATCCTCTCTAGTTGCAATTTCCACCATTTCAGCAGGTGGAATGGGTGCTTCTTGAGTAGTTAGGTGAGATACTTGAGGTTGGGGTCTCAAATTAGGATGGAGTTTGAAACATTTTTTAAGTGTGTCCAAACATCTTACAATGGGTGAAAAAATATGATCTTTGTTCCATGACAATTGGTTGCCAGTACCTATCATGTGTAGTGCCAAGCCAAGTTTATTCAATATCAGGTAAAGTGATATCCCTCTCTACAAGGATCCTGATAACAGAAGACCCGGTGAGATTAAAAGTGGGTACATCTAAGTCTCCCAGCATGACCCCAATGGAATAAAAGTGCGATTAAAAGCGGGTACATCTAAGTCTCCCAGCATGACCCCAATGGAATAAAGGATTTGATGGTTGAAAAGATGCAACTTAAGCCGAGGCAACTTATACCACATTGGTACTGTAGGTGGTTCTTGATTAGGATCAAATTCAGGAGACTACTTGAGCAACTTCATAGTTTTTTCCTTCAATGGTGAGGAATTTCCTAGAAAAATTCCTAGCATAGTCTTCGTATGTTGTCAAATGTATCATCAAATGTATCCCATCAAAGACCCATCTTCCATTGTCCTACAAGTTTTGGATCCTCAAAAGCTTTGTGAATAATCTCCATTTTGGAGTGCCCCAACTGAAATTTCCCAATGAGTGTGAATTTTCATTTTTCAACCAGAGTAGAGACTTCGAGGTCTGAAAATGTAAGAGCAACCTTACCTCCCTTCCTATAGGCCCTCTTAATAGACGTACAATCGTCTTTCCCTTCAACAGAATCATGATAGATCTGAGAAAACACCACATGCTCGACAGCCTTCTCAGAGTCTAGACCCTTACAAAGAACCTCAAGAAAAGATTCTTTGCCTAGTTACTGATTCGAGCGAGGAACAATAGCCATCGAAGCAGAAGACAAAAAATGGAGAAAGGATGCCGCAGGGGGAGGCGTTGTCAAATAGAGGAGCTGTTGTGGCGAAGAAGAGGATGAAGGAGCAGACTGCGGGTGTAATCTACGCCGAAGCTGATGAAACGTTGCGTGCGGCTTTTGCGATGACCGAAGTCTTTCACCTGGTCGGACGAGTCGGGATCGAAGGAGAGGAATAAGGCAATGCTATGTGAAGCTGAAGCTTTGTGCATAGGGCAGCGACGAACCTGCTACGACGCTTCCCTTCCCTTTTTCTTCGAGCACGACGAGGCTTCGTGCGACAGCTAGGGTGGCAACGAACCTGCTACGACGCTCCCTATCCCTTCTTCATATCTCTCTTTCTCTCCCTCTCTCCCTCTCTTTATATATATATATATGTATATATATATAGTAAATAAACAAACTGCTATAGTAGTACACGAGAAAATAAGAATTATAATAACATTAATTTAAAAAATAAGATGTCGATAAATAATTGTTTAGCTTATGGCCTACACGAAAACTTTTTAAAAGAAAATTTTAATACAAAAATTGAACAAATTTGCTTACAGTTTATTTTTTTAATTTTAATTCACTAAAAAAAGTGAAATGAATGTTCGATACGGTGTTTCTTTTATTTTTAGTATAATTTAAATCAAACACTTTGGGTCGTGTTCGATACGTGTTGAAGGATGTTGTGCTTTTGTCCGTGTCCGGGCGCCGAACATTTCAAGTCTCTTTAATCAAGGGTGCCCGTCATCTTAGGTTGAAAGAAACTAATCTTTGTAGAGACACGGTGGATATGATGGTGGTAGAACTGGGGCACAAATAGTAGCATTAATAAGAAATTGACTGCATATGAAATGATATGGGATCTTTGGCCTCATATATTGATGTAGTTTTTGAAGCAAATCATTAATTTGAGCGAGAATATCATGACAATATGACTGAGACAATGGGGGCAGTATGAAACCAATATGTATGAGTGAAGAAAGTATTATTGTCGGGAATTGAGGAGCATCATGTGTAACCTTCTTGGTAGTTAGTATAGAGTTTAAGCTCCATATGTTATGATTTATTGTTTAAGCTCTTATGCGACAGTATAATTGTGGAAATAATGAAAGCTCAAATTCAAGGTGTAATGGGGCGGGCAAAAGTATATAAAGCTGTGAAATAACATGTATGTCCATTTGTAAATGCTGGGGAGTAACAAAAGTAGAAGAGTTTGTAGAATCCGATGCATCTTTGATTTCTTGGATACTCTCATGTACAAGCACTTGACATGCCCAACCTTATTCTTAGACACATAGTCAAACTGATGATATACCATATTATCATACAAGGAGGTGGGGGTAATTGGATTGGTAAAGTGGAGATTTGAGTAGCTGGATTGTGAATTAATTTGAGCATTTTTATTCTGTTGCGGCAACAATCTAATGTGGCATTGGATATTTTAGCATGAGGCTTAAGTTGATTAGAGGTCTAGTGATATTTAGAAGAAGATATATCAAAGTGATTCGGCTTTTGATTTATAACATACCAGAGATAAAAGTGGGCATGGACATAATGATGTTGTTGGTCATGATTTTGATATTGTTGACTACGATATGTAAGATTGTGATATGATATAGCAATATCATGATTTCGAGGATGACAGGATAATGGTATTATCAATGAAATCTATGATACGAACCCTATAATGGTCTTCTTGATGTTTTATGGAATACGAGTCTCAAGTATCTTGATAAGAA